GCAGCTGCAGGGTGGTCAGCCTGGGAGACTGGAAGAGCAGGGCAGAAATTCTAGCAAGTGCTAATTGGGTCGTGAAGCTGCCCGAGGGAGGGGAGGGAATGCCTGATTAATGGCTGTTTGCTCTGCAGGGGGTCATACACCGGGTCTACCTGCCGCCTCCCCTCCTTGCCAGAGCTGGAAACCTCAGCCAGGAAGCCAGGCTGTCTTGGGACAGCAAGGGTGAGCCTTGCCGCCATCTGGTCCCCAATTCTGCTGCCTAATGTTTGTAACAGACCTGCAAGCTAATTGCATGGTTGGGGAGCAGCCTTCACATCTTTAGCACCTAATTCACTATTGTTCTTTGGAAGCCCCAATCCTGCTGCTGGGGAGGGAGGGTTCTGCCCCATTTATGGGGCTTTCAAGCCTCAGGCCATCCCAGCCTGGCCTTGTTAGGCTCCAGCTGGGCAGGCAGGCAGGAGGGCATCCCCTCCATGTCCCGCAGGCAGCCTGGAGCTGTGCCTTCCCACACCTGCGGCTCACCTGGCTGGTACTGGTGATACGCTCCCAAAACACAGCCTCTCCCACTTGTCCTGGGGAAGGCCCTCCCCACCCACCCTGGTAGGGCCCACTTCTCTGGCCCTCAGCTTTGGAACTTTATTCCCCACTCCACCCCCTGCAAAGGCAGAGATGGGGAGGAATGCTGGGAAAGGGAAAAGTGGGAACAGGGAGGCCTGGGTTCAAATCTCACCTTGGTTACTTTCTACCATGGAATCTGGGTCAATGACATTCCCCTACAGGTCTCAGTTTTCTCATCTACAAAATATACGTCCTAACATCTATCTTGCCAGGTTCTTGTGCCAATCAAATGAGATCAGCGTAACAGCTAAGAGAGCAAGAGCTGGCCAAGCACGGTGGCTCACGCCTGTAATCCCAGCACTCTGGGAGGCCGAGGACGATGGATCATGAGGTCAAGAGATAGAGACCATTCTGGCCAACATGATGAAACACTGTCTCTACTAAAAATACAAAAATTAGCTGGGCGTGGTGGCACGTGCCTATAGTTCCAGCTACTCAGGAGGCTGAGGCAGGAGAACTACTTGAACCCAGGAAGTGGAGGTTGCAGCTGAGATCGCACCACTGCACTCCAACCTGGTGACAAAGTGAGACTCCATCTCAAAAGAAAAAAAAAAGAGAGAGAGCAAGAGCTTACTCTGCCCCAGGAACCATGCTCTAGAAGCTGGATGTGCGGACATCAAGGTGGGTATAGAGCAGAAGGACGAGGGGTGGCCGTAGGGGGAGAAGACTCTGGATCCAAACAATGAACAGGGTGGGGGAGGTGGGGAGCACACCCTTGTCTCCAAATCCACTTCTCTCCCAGATTCAGGGGGCCCTTCCCACCATTCTTGCCTGCCTGTCTCTTGAAATGCTAGGGCAAGGGTCAATTTTCACTCACCTCCTGCACCACGATAGGGCTGGGGGGGCGGGGGTTGGTTGGGAGGACCCCCTCCCCACTGCCCTCTGCTGCAGATTTTGGAAGGATGAGAAGAAGGGCCTGGCTGGCCACTGAAGGGGCCCCTGACTCACCTCGCCCACTGTTATTCCGATGAATTGATCATCTAATGGGCTCTGTCATTAATTCACTGCAGGACCTGGAGGAAGTCGCTTCCTCTCTGGTCTCAGCTCCCTGCTCTCTAAAACAATCAGCTGGAGAGAGAAGCCTGAAAGGATGAAGCCCCCTGCCTGGGTCCTCTCTTCTGGGGCAGGAATCGTCCCCAGGTGTTTGCCCTGCTCTCTCTGGAGCATTACATTAGCCCCACGAGGTAGAATCAACTGGGATGAAGACAGACGCCACTCACAGAAAAGACGTGCCTTGCCCAAGGTCACGCAGCTGGAAAGTGGCCACGTCAAAAGCACACTGAAGTGCTGCAGGACTCATGTCTCTGTGGTCTCTATGACAGGAACGTCCTGGGGAGGGTGCGGATGGCGGCCGCCATCAGTACCTGGAAATGTGGTCTATGCTTGCCTCCGCCCTCTGGTGGGTTGGGAAATGATGGACACCAAGGGAGAAAGACTGGAGCCCTGAACAGATGCCGAGAGCTCCGAGAGTCTGGATTCGGGTCAAGTTACAGCTCTAGAGACAGACGGGCCTGGGTTCAAACCCCAGCTCCTCTATTTATTGCCTGTGTGACTTCAAGGAAGTGACTCTCTGAGCCTGCTCTGTAAAGTGGGGTTAAAAATGCCCACCTCAAAAGCTGGTGGGGTGGGCCCAGTGTTCTGAAAGTCATAGACATTTATCCCTGGGGTTCCTACCCAGCTAGACTATGGCAACCCTCACTAGCCTCCTACCACAAGCAAGCGTTCCTAAGGCGACAGCATCCGTGGCTGGGAAACGTGCTCGCCCGCCCACCCACTGTGCTTATCATCAACATATTTCTCATAGCTCAGGAAATGTCCAGAAAGTTCTGTCTAGAGTAAACAAAAGCTGGGCCCACAGCTTCCAACGTCAGGGACGCTAAGAGGCAGGACAGGGAAACGACACTGGTCCCACTGCCCCCAGGGATGAAGCAAAGGCGAGGTCTCGGGTGCAGGAGGACAGAGGCCTGGGCTGTGTGGCGGACAGAGGTGCATCAAAGCCAGTGGCAGGAGCAGCATCAGGTCAGAGTGAGTGCCGGGCTTCGGCGCTGGACAGATGCCGGGAGCTCCAAGAGTCTGGACTTGGGTCAAGTTACAGCTCTACAGACAGACGGGCCTAGGATGCCTCCGGTCCCCCACACAATAGCCAGAGCGATCCCTTTAGGTGTAAGGCACATCACGTGTGGCCCCCCATCTCACTCCAAGTGAAAGCTCAGGTCGTGGTCTGCCTCCTCCAATTCTCCCCCCAACCCCACCCAGTCTGCTCCAGCCCCTCTGGCCCCCGCTTCATCCCGAGACAACCCTCCAGGCTGTGGCACTGTCTGTGGAACACTCCTCCCTCGCTTCCTTCCTGTTCAAAATCCTCCCCCCTCCAGAAGCCTCCCCGACCACCTCATCTAAAATAGCATCCTCTATCCCCTCACCACGTTTTATTTTTTTCTTATGGTTTGCCACTCCTTGTTGTTATATTTTGCATCTGTTTTATTAGTGATCTTCCCTAATAGAATGGAAGCCCCATGAGGGCCAGGGCTCCGTGCAGTTCACTGCTGTATCTTCAGCCCCTGGGAGAGTGTCAGGTACAGAGTAAAGTCAATAAATATTTTTTGGATGAATGAACAGATGGCTGATTGTGTTCTGGCTCCACAATTTTCTAGCAAACACCTATCTCTAAGGGTTATTGTTTCCACTAAATAAAATAATACAGGAAGAGTGAACGCAGCTGACACATAACAGGTTCTCAATCGATGACAACCTGAATCACTGTGATTATCAGCCAGAGTCTCAGGCTGTCATCTCTTCAATGTGAGACCTGGGGCAAGCTGATGCTCTCTTGGAGTCTCTGTTTACTGTCCAATGTGGAAGCAGGGGTGCCCACCTCCCACGCAGGGGAGTTGTCTGATGGATACCCAGGCAGCGCACCTACTGAAGCCCCCAGCAGAGGTTCCGACAATGATAGGCACTCTCCAAGTGGCAGCTATCGCCATCCTGGAGAGACTAAGATTTGGACACGGGCCCGATGGCTTTCTTGTGTGATCTTCAAGAAGTGGCATAATGTTATGAGCCTCAGTCTCCTCATCTATAAAATGGAAATAATAATGGTATCCTCAGAACACCATGAGATTGTGCAGCTAAAGAGCTTCACAAAACTCTACGGAAATGTGTTGTGATGGGCAGGAGGGTGAGCCAAAGACATTCGGGACAGGGCCCAGGGGTGAAGGGATAAGGGTTCATAATGCAGACAGCAAGGTCAAGACCAAGAGCTGTGCTCAGAAGCGGAAACCCACCCCAGCCAGGAGCCTGCAGAGAAGGCCCTCCTACCCCTCCCCACTGCCTCTGCCCCACCTCTCCTTAGGGTCTCATGGGAACTTCTGACCAGCCCTGGAGGGGAAGTTTTCAAGGGAGGCAGGTGACAGCCACAGAATCCCGGCAGCAGAGGTGACTTCTGCCTCAGGCCACCTCCTGCCCCACCAGGAATATATGGTTTGTTCCATGAAGGCACTAAGGTTGGAGATCATGGGGAGGGAGAAAAACAGAAACAGCCCCCCACCCCAAGCCTGACTGCTCACACAGCCCAAACCTCAGGACAGAGGACTCACCGACCTTCAATCTGCCTCAACCCCGAGACGAACCTGGCCTCTCCCCGACATTCTGGGCCAGACCCTGGGAAACAGGCCTTGAAGATGGGTTCTTGGAAGCTAACATCACCAGATTCCTCAAGCTCCAGCCCATGAGAGTTTGAGGAGAGAAACGCCAGGTCCCCGGCTGACCTAAATGCTCCCACCATATTTCCGTGTTCAACCTGTGCCTGGCAAAACACTGATGTGGATGACACAAGTGACTCAATTAATCCCTAGACGGCAAGCTCCAAGAGGCATGGTTTCTTGTCTGTTTGATTCTTATTAATTTCTCGTACTCAGAAGACTGCCTGGCACTTAGTCAGCGCCTAAGAAATATATACTGAACGGATGAATCCATCAATAAATCAACGAATGAAGAAATGAATCAATGATTTCCTAGAAGTGAAATTCCCTGAGGGTCGGGGTTTTTTCCATGTTCTTTGATAAATCCCCAGGGCCTAGAATCAGAGCCTTGGCACAGGAGAGGTGTGAGTAAACGCATAGGAACAAATGACTGAAGCGGTCATTGAATCAATGACCCATTAGAACGGAATCTCCCTGCAAGCCGGGATCTCCATCTGTTCTAAGGCTGCCTTCTCAGTGCCTGGTGCATAGTGCATAGTGAATGTCGAATGAATCTGTCAATGAATGAATGAATGAATGTACAAGGCCCCAGCTCTCAGTGCAAAGACCACAGACCAACCAGAAAGCAGGAGACACAGAGGCCACTGCCCCCGCCCTACCACCAGCCACCACTCGCCTCGTGGTTTCTTAAATAATTTGTCTGTTGTCTTTAATTGTTGAGGCAGTAATACTTGGTTCATGAAACTGCAATATACAGAGAGGTGAAATAAATAGCTTATATATATATATATATAATATATATAATATAGCTGGTTTTAAAATATTCCCTTATCATTGGTGTACTAGGTCACGTGAGTCACGAAAGGTCGATAGCAGCATCCTCCAGAACTGCGAGCAAGGCAGGGTCACCATGATTGGACGAGGCGTCTGTCGTCGGGAGGTCGAGGCGCGGAGAATTCCCAGGGGCACGCCTTCCCTGCGCGGTGTCTCGGGACAGCTTGCAGTGGACAATAAATAAATGACTGCAAACCAGAGAGCGATTTTTGTTGGAGTTTGGGGCAGGGATAGAGGACTGGGAAAGTCAGGGGGAGTTTGTTGGTGGGTAGAGTACTATTTTCTCTTTTTCTTTTTTTTCCTTTCAGAACCTTTGGGAAAAGACTTTGGTTTCTCGAAGTGTCAGTTCCTCATTCAAGTCCTCCTCTGGGGACGAGTTTAGAGTTGTCTGTTCCTAGAGAGAGACAAGCACCTGTGGGTTGACTACAGTCCCTTTGCATGAGTCTTTTGTCATCGGGGGTTTCAAGTCAACAATAAAATCCTTATCACCCCTCCCCCCAAGAGTTTTGGTTCAGTTTTTGTCTTCTTTTAAACACAATATACAAAAATAGAGCTTCTTCCTTATTTTTCATGTAAAAATATTCCTCTGATGCAGTTCTCTGGGAGTGGGAGTGTGGCTAGGGCGACCCGAGGGGCCGCGGCGGGATGGCCTAGGCAGGGTGTGTGGGCCGGATCCGACGGGACCTCTTGGTCACCGTCGTGTACTTGAAGGGCTTCTGAAGCTCCGGCTGCCCCTTGGGGTAGCGCTTCATGAAGTGCACGTCCTGCTGATTCTCCCGGGTCTTGGGGCCCTTCCTCGGCCGCCCCTTCTTGGTGAAGCCCACGTACCAGCCACAGTACTTAGCCGACATCAGGGCCGTGTAGTTGTTCTCCAGAACCTTCTCGATGAACACACACTCCTTGCTGGAGCCATCGGGCTGCAGGGGAGAGAGGGGGAGTGTTCAAGAAAAATATGACTCAGTGGTGCTTGTTAAAGCACAGCAAGGAAGGTTTGTTTCATTCAGGATCACCACGATCGTTGTAGGGACAACGTTGTAGGGTTTTGCAGTGGGAGAGAGACTGGGCTCAACTCTGAATACAGCATGGGCAGGTATGGGTGCTCCTTGGTTTACAGCCAAGGAGCAGGATGCAAAATGACTAGGACGAAACATCAAGGGGATAAGGGATTCTGGCTAAAGCCACCTAACAGGATTTTTGCTGAGGACAGGCCAGGGAGATCAGACATCACCTGAGGGATGGAGAAGGATGAGGACCCTGATCAGGTATCGAGGGTGGGGGGTTCTTGCTAAACTGACTTTGCGAGGCTCTTGCTAAAACTGGATTTTACGAAGAAGTGCACAGATAGGCCTAAGAGAAGGATCAGGAGCCTGACTCTAGTTTGGCCAAGCAAAGAGTCCTGGTCAGGAGGAGGAGAGAAAGGGGACAGCAGGTACAAGGGGCATGGGGCAGCACAAGAGAGAGAGCCTTCACTCCCTGGATCTGTAGAGTAAACGTTTTTTACTGGCCCCTGCATCTTTCCCCACCCTCCAATTAGGTAACAGACTCCCACTGTCATTCAGAAATCTATTCCTTCCCCACGCTCCACCCTCATGGCCCAGGAGCCCCACCTCATCCCTACCAGAGCACGGCATCCAGACACTGTTTTCCCTTTGTCTTCAGTGACTGGCTCACAGGTGAGCATGTGACCCAAGCCATCCAATCAGAGTGTTCCTTGAGACATTTTCTAGGCAACCCCAAACATAGGTGGATTTAAACTGGATGAGTTTGTAAGGCTGAAGCAGAGGCAGCCACTTTATCACCATGAGGGGAGATCCTGTCTGATAGTGAAGCCAGCACAGATGAAGCAAAGCCAAGAGGGAGAGAAGGAGAGAAAGTACATCTTGGTAACATTACTTGGGCTCTAGATCCAGTCACATCTGAAGCTCAAGTTACTTCATGGTTATGTGGGCCAATAATGGCTCATTTCCTTTAAACCAGGTGATCCTGCGTTCTATCGCTTACAACAGAAATGAGTCCTGATGGGTTTGCACAAAACCTGAGATTAAATCAGCTACTCAGCTGTAACTCAACTCCACTTCGATCTAGTTAAATATAAATTACACGTAATGTGGGATGTGGTGCATTTTCATACTTAGTATGAAGTAAGGTGGGGGCCACTAAAAATAAGAGATTTCACATGGCTGAACTCCAAACTGTGCCGTCGGTTGCAGGATCTCAGGCTCCTGGGCCGATGTGTGAACTCTCTTGGGAGTCTGGGTGTGCTGGGCAAAAAGCACTACATTTGGAGTCAGAAATTGAATGACCTCTAACAGTTCCTTGTGTAACCTCGGGCCAGTCAGTCCCACTCTGTAAACCTCAATTTCCTCATCTACCTAATGGGAACAATGACTTCCGCATCATAGAGACACTGTAGGAGCGATGCTTATAAATGAATCTGACACTCAGTAGGAGCCTGCTAGATTACTCCGGAAGGGCAGCTATTCCCGACAGGGCTGGCGTGCCTCCCTGGGATCTGATCTGGACACAGTGTGGTGGGGAGGCAGGGCTTCAGTCTCCTCTCTGAGACGGCCGAATTGCTGGATGGGGAAGAGTGGGAAACACAAAGTTGGAAGGCCTGAATTAGCAGCACTCGAGTTTCCAACTAACATCTCCAAATTTAGGCTGGGCCCACTCCCCGTTACGGATGGATGCCCGGCCAAGCTGGAAGCCCAGCGGTCTGGCTGTGTGTGGAGACTGAGGTGTGAGTTCCAGCCTTTTGTTTGAAGTGGAAAACAGGCTGAGGCTTCCAGGAAGACTCACCTTTGAGCAGAGGGCAAGCTTGGGCCCTGCAGACCAAGGGCTGAACTTCGCAGAAAGGGACAGGCAGGGTAAGAAAACACTCTCTGGAGGATGAGCTCTTTCGAGGAGGCTGAGGAACAGGCAGGGGCAGACCTGGGACACATACATGGGACCCAGAGGACAGTATGGGTGGCAGTGAGCAGTGAGGGTCTCCTGTGAGGAAAGCCAGGGCAAGTGTGCAAGGCATGTGGAAGGGAGTGGTCCCTGGGCTCTGGGTCCCCCATGGAAAATTCTGGAAGCTGTCTGTCCAGCCTGAATCCAGGTTCTTTGCCTGGTCTCAACCAAACAGTTGGAGCAAACAGAACAAAGGCTACACCATGACGCTCCCCAATTCTAGAATGCCTGCCACTGCCTGAAATGGCTTTCAACCCTCCAGGCTCAGCTCAACAACTGCCTCCTCAGGGAAGCCTTCCAGGACTACCCTTTATCTCCCTAGGCAATTCCTCTTTGTCCTTCAAGAGCGTCAAACCTTATTGGGCTCACATACTCCATCTTCTGAACCCCATTCCTCTTCCCCACAACCCAACAGAGAAATTCCACATCCGCCCGCTTCCACATTAGCCCAAGTGCCTGATGAGGTCGGGCTGCTTCTCAGTTCTCTCGTTGCTGAGCACAGGACTTAGCTCCAGACAGGGGTGCCCCAAGAATTTGGAGTTGAACACATTTTCATTAGGATGGAAACAGTGGGATGACATATGAAAGGGGTTTCCTCCTGAAGAGGAGGAAGACAGACTCTCCCTCCTTGATCTGTTATAACTGTCCCAGAGAGAGTCCTAAGCTACGAGATGTCCCTCCTGGGATACACTAATTAGGGAGACAGAGCAAGCTGAGCCCTAGAAATCGCCTAGCCCACTTAGTCTCCCTACTCATTCGTTAACCATTTATTGATTGCCAACTATAGGCCAGATATTGCTACTTCCATTTCCTTTCGTCCTCTCCTTTGACTCTGCTTGGTAGAAGAAAGCAGAGCTCAGAAGCAAACCGGCTTGTCCAAGATCACGGAGTTTGTAAGCGGCAGAGCTGGGATGTGAACATGCCCTAGCCTGGTCTCAACCAAACACTGCAGCTCACTTCTCCTCTGCCCAGTTCCAGAAAGGTCCCAAAGAGGAAAGGGTGAAAAGGGGCAGGTGCTGCCCGTCAGAACGTCTCGCCTCCCCCAGGCCCACAGAGCCACCATTGGCACAAAGTGAGGTTTGGGATGTACAAGGAGCTACCCAGTGCCAGACACGCAGGCTCAATACACGTCTGGGTTTACTTAAGAGGGTGGAAGAGCTGGGCTTTTGGCTGAAATGCATGAATCTTGGGAACCAGCCCTGGGGCTATGATAATCACAAGTTCCCCTCCATGACCTCAGGCAAAAATGGGTGAGAAGCTAACAGCAGGCTGCACTTGGGCTTGACACTTGCCTGTGGCCCTGGCTACCACTATGACCCTGCTCACCACACAGAGACATTCCAGAAACACCTGTGCTTGGGTCCCACCCCCAGGAACTCTGACTCAATCAGTTCAGGCAAGGCAGAAGCGTCAGTACATAAAGAGTAAGTGAATATCCCATCCCAGAACCCTGATGATTTAGCAGAATTTGATCTCTGCCCTAATACCACCTCCAACCTCTTGCTTCCCGAACTGGAGCCTAGTCCTATTTGATCTGAAGATGGAATCCTGATGACATCATCTGCCCTCTAGATCCAGTCTTACCCAAAACTAGAACCACCCTCTGGACTGTGTTTTTGTTTTTTTTTTTTTTAGTTTAGTTAGTTTGTTTGTTTGTTTCTATATAAGCCCCACATTCTCTTTTTTGCTTAAGGCATTTTAGGTTGAGTTTCAGCCACCTGCAACCAAAGCCATCTTAACAAAGATGTGCTGGTGGGCAGGGTGCTCCCCTGCCCTGAAAAGGTCTGTGACTCTATGTTGCCCCAAAAAGGACTCAGTGATTGAAACAGGTGGGTGCCGATGAGAAAACTACAACCTGGGTCGCAGCTGGCACAGCGTGCTAGATACTCAACAACTGTTTGCAAAATGACAGGAAGCGCCACCTTCTGGGCCTGGTGACATAGGTTCCAGAGGGGTAGCAAAGAGAAGGGGGGCCACCTCAGCATGCAGGAGCTGGGGACAGAGCTTTGGCATCTGATTGGTACAATTCGGCAGAAAGAGTAACTCCAGCAAGGGCCTGCGGCCTCTGGAAAGCTCTGTTGAGGGCTCGATGTGGGTGCCCTTGCTGCGGCCAGGGATGTGCAGGCTTGGCACACAGACGGCCCAAAACTGTCCCATTGAGCCACTCCAAAGGAGTCGGCACTGGAGCTGAGACTCCCACAGGTGAAGAAGTGACTTGTAACCCGGCTTCAAAGGGGGAAGGGACTAACAGCAAGTGCCGACTTGCCTACTAAGTGTTCAGATTATCATTCCCATTTTACAGATGAGGACTCCGAGGCTTGGCAAGGCCAGGGCACTTTGACTCCCTTGGCTTGATTTGGACAATTCAGGCTGTGGCTTAAGAGTCAATCCACAGACAGCGGGAACCATGTTTCTCTCTTTGGTGTCCCCGCAGCCCTTTGGCCAGGTATGCAGAACTCAAATGAATGGATGCAGAATCGGCCCTCAGGGAGCTCCCGGCGTGACAGGGGATGCAGGCACAAAGACAGACAGCAACGACCCAGGTCAGCAGACAGGTAACAGAGGGCTGTGCGAGGGGCTGCGGGGCTCCAGGGTGGGTGGGCTGACGGAGGCAACCAGGAATAATGAGCCAGGACTCAGGTGGACAGAGGGAAGGGCAGTTCCGGCAGAGGGCACAGCATGGACAGTGCCCAAAGGCCCCGTCCAAGGAACAGTCGTGCCCAGTGTCATGCATCTGAGGCATAAGGAACGCATGTGCCCGGGGAGGCTCCCCAGGGCCTTCAGTGTCCCATAGCAAGGTGGGAGGACCCATGGGTGGGTCTGAAGTTGGGTGGGGGTGGGCACAGGCCATGTGCTGCCCTCCAATGCCGAATGTGCTATAGAAAGCCGAAGGTGGGCAGTGGAGAAAGGCCTGGAGGTGCAGAAGCCACACACCAGGCGGCTGGGACAACGACTTCCGGGAAGGTGGGGGGCCGAACAGAGGCGGTGGCAGGGTTAGGAAAGGCGGGGACCCCCAGGACCGAGGCCCCGCTGGGCAGGGAGGCTGTGGCGAGGGCGGCAGCCCAGGAGCCAGACTCCGGCCTCGGGGGCCAGAGAGCTAGGGGCGCTGGGCGAGGCGGAGGCCAAGCCTAAACAGGTGGATTTGGGGGCGCCCTTGAGTTCCCCCCCAAGGGGGAGGGGCAGAAGACAGGAGGCTGGCAGGGGCTGGGGGCAGGCGTGGAGGCCGGGGCAGGAGTGGGGGAGGCGCCGGGGGCCGGGCCGGGCCTCCCTCCGCTGCGCCAGGGCGCCCCGCGCCAGCTGAACCGTCACCAATATTAATGACGGGAGAGAGGGCGAGGGGGCAGGAAATCGGAGCCGGCTCCTGTGGAAGCGGTGACTCAGCGGCCAGCCCGAGGGCGGGAGGCGGCGGGAGGCGGCCGGCGGCGGGGTGAGGGGGCGGCCCGAGGGGACGGGGCTGCTCTTCTGACCCCCGCGCCGCCCTCCTGGGGTCAGGATGCCGGGAACCGCGCGCGCAGACGGCGAGGGCGGGCCGCGGCGTGGGCACGGGCACTAGCGGGTGCCGCCGGCCCCTCCTGGGGGAGAAAGAGAAAAACGAGCCGAAAACTCAAAGCAGGTTGGGCCTGGGAGGCGGCCCAGGCGGGCAGGAGAACAAAGCGCCTGACGCGGGGCTGGGCCGCGCCGCCACAGGAAACGGCCGGCCAGGCCAGGGGGACCCGCCAGGCCAGGGGGACCCGGCGCCCGCGCCCCGGTCCGCGGTCCCGGCCCCGACCCCCCTCGCCGGCCGGCCGGTCTCGCCACGGCGGAAAGTGAATCACTAATTAAAACCACTCCTCGGCATCCCGGAGGCGCGCTCTGCGGATTACTATGATGTTGCTCTTTGAGAAGCCTCAGTTGGTGTGGGCAGTGCGGCTGGAATCTTTTCCTTCCAAACCCGGCTTTGAATCCCGCGGAGCTCTAGTGTGGGACCTGGGACAAGTGCCCGGGCGTGGCCGAGCCTCGGCTTCCTCATCTGTGGAATGGGGATGGTAGCGGTGGCAGCCTCCTGCGATTCATTTTCAGTTCAGTGCCAGGCAGAAAGTCGGTGCTCAATTAGCGGAGGCTATTGTGACCGTAATTATTATCAAAATAATGCGACAATGCCCTGGCTAGGAGCCTGGCCTGTTACACCCTCCCCAGCCTCTTGAGTGTGGGGCTGGGGGAGAGGGATAAGATAGGGGATTCAAAAAATCAAAACCATGGCTTCAGCAAGACTGAAGTCATCTCCCCCACCCCCAGCAAGATGTAATGAACCACAAATAATTAGCCAGGGCATTGTCCCCAAGCAGAAGCCCATCCCCTTGGAATCTGGGCCTTCCCTCCGCCTCCCTTCACCTGTCCAGTCAGAACCCCCTCAACCCTGGTCATACAAGCTGGATACGGGAGTGAGTCAGTCCCTGCAGAGAGAAGGGACAGAGAGCCTGACCCCACCACAGAGCTCCTGTGGATAACACCTTCCATTCAAACACCAACGGAAGCCAGTGACTTTTGCAAACAGGTGCACCCAAGAAAGAAACAGGGGTGCTGAGGAGCATCATCATTGGAGACTCAGGTCCCCCTGCACCTGGGTTCCCCCCTCCCAAAGTCCCCCCACCTGAGGGTCCCCCCCACCTGCCTCCACCCTAATTCGTTACATGCAGCTGTCTTGCCGTTTTCAAAGTAATAAAATCTTCCTGAAATGCTAGAACCATGAAGCCCAGCACTGACGAGGTGGCAGGGTTCCGGAGCCCACTACTACAGGACCGTTGGCACTGTCGGCCCCTGGCAATTGTTAAAATGATCGCTGCAGCCACAGCCCTTGGCTTGCCAGTTCCTTGTTCCCAGACTTCAGGAACACATAGTTGGGATGCCCCAGAGCCCCTCAAGGTTTCTCCCATGTCCAAGAAAGCCAGAGTGGCACACCCAGTAGGAGAGACCAGGGACCTATGTGCACCATAAGTTATAGCCTTGAATTCCTCGGCCTGGTGAGCTCAAGTGCCTGGACAGAGGAGTGGGGGATGGGGCGGGGAGAAAGGAGGAAATTACCATTTCCATTTGGGGCTGACAATGCTCTGGACACGTGGCAGCTCCCAGAGCTGCCAGAGGGGAACCCTAAGTTCCCGAGAGTCCCAGGCCATCACTCACCTTCCCCACGAGCTTGCCTTTGCGGTTCATGCACAGGTAGAATTCCGTTTCCTTGCCCTTGATCCGGACTTGACTACCGAAGGTGTCTGTCTCCACTAGGAGCTGGGCTTCGAAAGGCAGAAGGAAAACAAGACGCACTTTATTACGAGGGGCAATGGCTTGGTCTAAAGCCTTAGTGACATGGTCCCTGGTCCTATCTTTGGGCCTTCACTCCCCCAAAATCAGGCATGGGGAGGCCTAACAAGTCCCACAGGACAGATGCCATACAAATAACCACAGAGAAATCAGAGAAGTAGCAGTGCCCTGCCCTGCCCCTCAGGCAGGGAGATGGAAGCCACCTATCACCTGTTCCCTTCCCTCCAGCCTCTCTTGGCTCCACTTGGGATCCCGATGGCTCCAGCCAGAAGGGAGTTCTGCCCCTTGTGGCTAAACACCAGTGTGCCCTTCTCCCCATCATCACCTATCTTCCCTAGCCCCTCAACTCCCCCAAACAGGACAAAGAGCCATGCAAAAACCATCCTGGTCAACATGGTGAAACCCCGTCTCTACTAAAAATACTAAAAATTAGTCGGGCATGGTGGCGTGTGCCTGTAATCCCAGCTACTCAGGAGGCTGAGGCAGGAGAATTGCCTGAACCCAGGAGGCGGAGGTTGCGGTGAGCCGAGATCGCGCCATTGCACTCCAGACTGGGCAACAAGAGCGAAACTCTGTCTCAAAAAAAAAAAAAAAAAAAAAAAAAAAAACCATTTCCCAAAGCAGGACAGACAACCATAGGAAAAGACCAGTCTCCCAAAGGGATAGACGGCCGTCCAAATAATCCCCTCTCCCAAACCCAAAGCAAGACAGACAGAAAAATAACACCATTCCCCAAATCAGGACAGCCAGCCATACAAATAATCCTATTCCCCAGATACCACACAAATAACCACAGAGGGCCTGGCACGGTGGCTCACACCTGTAATCCCAGCACTTTGGGAGGCCGAGCCAGGAGAATCACCTGAAGTCAGGAGTTCGAGACCAGCCTGGCCAACACAGTGAAACCCTATCTCTACTAAAAGTACAAAAATTAGCTGGGCGTGGTGGTGCACCTGTAGTTCCAGCTACTCGGAGGCTGAGGCAGGAGAATCACTTGAACCCAGGAGGCAGAGGTTGCAGTGAGCTGAGATTGCACCACTGCACTCCAGCTTGGGCAACAGAGTGAGACTCTATCTCAAAACACACACACACACACACACACACACACACACACACACACACGCACACACACACACAGAGCTAAGGAAACCAAGGGGACAGACAGACCCACATGCAGGCATATGCATGCACCCCTCCCCTGCCTTTCGGAATGTAAAGGTATTTTCTCCAAAAGTTGGGTCTGTGGCCCCTCCCTGCAGAGCAAGCATCTGGAGCCCCTGCTAGTGCCCCCTGGCACCCTTACCCTGGCTACTTATAGCAGGAAGGGCACAGGGAGTGAGGTGTGAGCTCTCTGGGAAAACGTATGCAGGATATTCCACTGTTCTCCATGGAGGCCCCCAAAGCTGAAGGGTAACTAACTCCCAGGAGCCCAGAAATCCCACTCAAGCCCCGATCTCCCCTGGCCCAGGGTGGGAGACCCCATGCTACACCATCTATGCTCCACAGAGCCCACCTCAGGATGAGGGGTCCACAGCTGATCCCCCAAAGCCCTGCCTGAACAAGGACATCAAGCAGCAAAAGACTATGACTGTCCCTCGATTAGGCATGCTGTGTCCACATCTTTTCCTCCCCCTCTGTCAGCCCATATTTTTCGCCCCAGTAGGAGGCTGCTGTGTGACTTCGGGTAGGCCACATGCCCTCTCTGAGCTCTCTCTCCTCTCTGGTCTTAAACACCCCGTGCCTGACTCCCCAACACCAGCTGCTTTCTTTGCTTGTGACTGCCCCCCTCGAAATTTGTGCACCCTTTTCCCTGACCCCTTGTTTCCTAGTAGCCCCTGCCCCTCCCTCACCCACAAAAGTTTAATTTCAGTGACAAGGGACTTGCTTCTCCATAACAAAAATCATAGCCCCAAATTCCTGAGTACAGTACCCTTGGAGCCACAAAGAGTATACCTCAGCGCCCTTAAAATGCACTAGGTATGATTTTAATAAAAAAATTTACAAATACAGACCCTGGTGCCCTGCTGTGAAAATTAAAACCATCTGGAACTTGAGATTTCCAATAATTAATCTAGCCCTCCTTTGACACCACTACTAATTAAAATATGATACCCACCTTTCCAAGAGGGAAAAAAAGAAGAATTTACATAAAATTTAAAGATCTAACAAGAATTTAGTAACTCTAGAAACAAGGGGAGGCACATTCTTCTCTCCATCTCCCCTCAGCCCTAGAAAACACTGAGTTGGGGATATTAACCAAGGCTGAGATGGTGGTGGGTGGGGGTGCAAGCCCTTGATCCTCCCTGCTCCCCTTAAGTCAAACTCCGTGTCATCTCCTCTGTGAGCTCCCTCCCTGGGCCAAACATCACAGCAGCTCTGAAACTCACTTCCTCCGTATCTTCGCAAAGCTCAGGCCCCACAGGGGGTGAGGAGTTATGGGGCTGTCAGGACAATTTCAGGTGCTTCTGATGAGGGGCAAAGGTGAGAGCTTTGGAGTCCACAAATCTTGATAGGAATCCTTGGCCCCAACCATATGACCTTTGGCCTCAGTTTCTTCTCCTGTAAAATGGGGGTATAATCTTCGATAGCTATTGTGAGGATTATACAAAATGATGCTGTGAAGAGCTTAGCACTCTGTTCTCAGAGGTGAGGGAGGGAAAACTCAGTAACTGTTATTTAAGTTTCCTACAAACCGCAAAACCAAACTGTTTTCCCAAAAGAAAAGAAAAACAAAAATACAGTGGAAGGAAATGGGATGTGTCTGCAAGGGTGGAGGAGCAGAGCTTCCCTCCCTAGGTCTTGCGCTATGACCTGAACTTCCCAACATCCTTCAGGGCTGCAGGCATCCCACACTGAGAAGCACATCAGAAAATGCCTGGGGCTGGGGCTCGCCGGGTCTAGTTTCGTTCTGGCATTGCCATCCTAGGCTGTGTGACCTTGAGCAAGCCATACCCTACTCTGAGCCTCAGTTTCCCTACCTGTGGAAGGGGGAGTGGCTCGACCCTATTCTCCTTCTCCTTGGGATTAGGAAGTGGGGTCTAGCAGAGGGGCAGGGGTGGGAGATGAAGGAGGTGGGTGAAGCCACTGAGTTGGGGTCCAGACAACCCCACATAGGCCCGAGGGGGAGACTCGCTCTCAGCCCCTCCCAGCACATGCCTGGACCTCTGTCCTCAGAACTGCTCCTGCTGTGCTCCCCTTAGAGCCCACTGAAGCCACCCATCGCCACGAGATTGGGTGTCTTTGTCCCCATTTTGCAGTGTAGGAAACAGGTTCAGAGCAGCAACCCAGTAACGGGCTGACCTCAGGACTGCCTGCCTCTTTCTGCTGAGGCCTGGGCTCCAGGGGAGAGGCCCCCAGCTCTGGAGGGACAGGCCTCCCAGCACAACCCCCACCCCTCACCAGCCAGGGCCGCTGCAGGAAGCCCAGGCCTTCACCTGAGCTGTCCAAAGGCCCTGGGGCAGGGGTTGCACCTCCACGCACCAGAAGCCTAGCCACCCCCACCCCAGCATGGGGAGGGTCTGCGCCTGGCCGTCACGCCAGGGGAGCCAGAAGTCTGTTCTCTCCATGACCGTAGCATGCGATGGAGTGACCTAGACTCCACTCAGCACATGACATCATGAGGAGGGAGCTGGGCCAGAATTACGTAAAGTCTTTTGGGAGTAATAGCAGCAGTTCTCAGAGAGAGGGGGGCTGGGGAGAGAGAAAATGAGACGGAAAGAGAGACAGGAGAAGAGAGACACACCACTCAGGCCAGGGCCTCCGCAGCACACACCCACTCCCATGACCCAAGGTCCCAGGACGCTGCTCTCAAGAGCTAGAAACTTCATCTGGGCTCAAGCACAGCTCCATTCGTGGGGCCCGCACCAGGCCAGGTGGAGGAGTTGATGACATTATCTCACCCTGCTCATCGGACTTCCTCACCGCCCCGCTGGGCCACTGTCCCCTCCAGCCTGCACAACTCAACAGCCCCCTCCCTTTGCCACATTCCTCCTGCCCACCTCTCCTCCACACCACAGCCAGAGGGATCCTTTAAAAATATGAATTTGCCAGGCACTGTGGCTCATGTCTGTAACCCTACCACTTAGGGAGGCCGAAGCAGGTGGATCACCTGAGGTCAGGAGTTCGAGACCAGCCTGGCCAACACAGTGACACCCCGGCTCTACTAAAAAAAAATACAAAAATTAGCTGGGCATGGTGGCACATGCTTGTAGTCCCACTTACTTGGGAGGCTGAGACAGGAGAATCACTTGAACCCAGGAGACAGAGGTTGCAGTGAGCAGAGATCATGCCACTGCACTCCAGCCTGGGTGACAGAGTGAGACTCTGTCTCAAAAAAAAAAAAAAAAAGAATATATAAATTAATTGTGTCCCTTCCCTGCTAAAAACCTCCTAGGGATCCCCAACCCATGTAGAAGAACATGTAAACTCTTCACTGGGACCCAAAGGGGGCACACAGCCTGGCCCCTGTGGACCAACCCCGCCTCCCTTCCTTGCCCCTCCCCTCTAGCACACCAAGTACGCTCCTGCCACAGGGCCTTTGCACCTGCCGTTCCTCTTCCTGGAGGCTGCTTTGCCCAGAGCTTCCAGAGTGGCTCCTCATCTCCTGGGTTGTGGTGCAAATATTGCCCCTCAGACAGGCTTTCCCAGACCACGATGCCTAATGCCAGCACCACCCTCCCCAGTCCAGCCCTACCCCATTCCCCTGCTCCATTTTCCTGAGAGCTCTTCTCTGAAACTCTCTCTGTTGTCGGTCTCTACCCAGCAGAAACTGAGCTCCACAAGGACAAGGACCTATCTGTCTTTACACTACTCTGACTTCCAGCGCCTAGCCCATGCCTGGCTCAGAGCGAGTGATCAGTAAGCCAGTTTTAATAAGCTCACTGACAGCCTTGTGGCGTGGGGATGACTGACAGCACTCACTGGCTAATGAAAACGAAATTCAGGGAGGTGAAGTGGCTTGCCTGAGGCACAT